GCGGAGGTCTGCCATAGGCTCATCAGATAGATCGTATTCGTCAGGTAACAGCGCCCCGGGACAGCCACCTGTCCCTTGGATGCCTGTGGATCTGCCTATATTCAACAGACTCGTTGAGCTATTCTGTTGGGCAATCCTAACGGACGGACTGTCCGCTGGTCGAGTTTATAAAATACACGATAGTGTCCGTCTAGGTGTTGCTGATTACGACTGTCACTGTTTTTTTAGGACAATTCGTGCTGACACTACACTGTAATGCACCACATCACATTAGACGACGAGACGGGGTAGCAGAGCGTATTTCTCTGCAGAAATGGAAACAACCGGAGGGGTTAGTGCACGCTTTTTGTAGAATTCTTTTCCGAATAGCGTAGAAGGCCTAAAATCATTCATTTGACTATCATTCTAATTTACACAGATGATTCGGTGAAATTTCCCAAGCGCAACGGACTTAATATCCGAAATTTTAAGCCCGACCTGCATACCGAAATTCACTGCATCATCTACATATATATAGTACTCAGAGTCGAAATGAGATAAACATATTTGCCGAAAAGACTAAATGTAATATTGTTTATCTGATTGTTTTGTAATNAGTCGAAATGAGATAAACATATTTGCCGAAAAGACTAAATGTAATATTGTTTATCTGATTGTTTTGTAATTCGATGTGAAGATGTCGCAGTTATTTTAAAAGGAGTTGCGATTTCTGTCTTCTAAAGAAATTAATTTTTTTAATGGGGGTTATTGCCTTTCAAGTTTCTTTAATGTAGACATTTCCCAGCTTGATTTGCTCCAAATAAGCGACTTGACGTATGGTTAAAAAATATTTAGCCCATACATGAGATCGTTTAGAGTTTTTACGCTTTAAGGATTCAAGTTCCTTCCTCCTCAATTATTATTAGTATCTGTGACCCACTTGTTTAATGTGGGTGTGGTTAGTGCCTTTGGCTGTTAACCGGAAAACCGACGGTTCGGTCCAACCCCGAGTTTTTTACGGGAGAAATATTTGAACTCTTATAGAAAATTCCATCCGAACCCAAATCTATCGCTTATACCTATTCCGCCCCTTCCTTATCTCATTTATAATAAACCTATAGGACCTGAACCAACACTAAAAACTCAGGATCAAATTGTTCATATTTGTGAATATTCACCATAATTGCCTTCTTTTACGGAACTGCATGAAGATATTCCACTTCGTGGTGGTTGAAGAGGAGAGCTTTTGGTTTCTGAAACACAACATCAGGTGTGAATTCGCCAGTCCTGCGATTGGTCGCTATGCAGTTGCTTCACTAGGGCTCACCCAAAAGCCCTAGTGAGGGAACAGTACAGGCACGCCCTTCAACAATTTGACACGCAGAATCAACAAGCATTGGATATTCAACAGGCATAATATCAGATTGGGTAGTGGAAAAGGGGTTGTATTAAGGGGTGATCAGGGAGTTTTCATGGGGAGGTATGCGGGAATCATCCTTCGTAGCGAAAAACTTTCCAGTGGCTTTTCATCCGACGAAGGTCAAATCAAACGTCCATTTCGACATGTATCGGGAAAAGGGATTGAGCACACGAAGAAATATTTCGCCTCCTTAGACCCCAAATAAGCACCCACAGCAGCCTTACGAAATAAGCGACGGGCCACTACGAACCGACTCTTAGCTCTGGGATGCTCATCAATAGAGCAACAAATCCCCTTGCATTCATCCACGGAGATAAACTCTTCCTAAGTGCTACTCTTCCCTCTAATAAAGGCAGATGCTCATAACCACCACTTCGCTGGCCACAGCGGATCGTCCGCTCTAGGCTTCCATGTGCTACTGTAACGCGCACATTTGGATATGCTTATTTTTAGATACCCCCAGTAGATCAGATGTGGAAACTCCGATCAGCTCCCGAAGACTAGAAACCACACTAGCGTGTCAGGCGCTTCTGATGCTTTGCAGAGGTGACGAGACCGTCACACGGGGATCGGTCAAAGAAGGAAGAGTTCCTAAAAAATAGGTCACTCGCTGTCGCGCCGATCAAGGTCCCAGGCCCCGCTAATGACTCCTTACGATCCCATCTCTGCAGTTTGCCTCATCCTCAGATGGATCTAGATCGGCTGTTGAAACTTAGATCTGCTTCCAATATGTTCATTACGCCTACTGACATTTAATTTTAAACGAAATCGCCGTCATCCATCCGCCTGCCTCAGCCTTGCAGACTCCTTGAAACAAGAATTTAAGTCAAAGCTACCAGTACCAAGACATTTTACCGTACGAGCTGTTAGCCTAAGTGGTTGGAAATAGTAAAAAAAATCGGGTTTTAATACCTCCAATTTAAAGAGGCAACGCGTTAAAAATATGACATCCGTATACTGCAGCAGTGATGTGCAACGTTTCAGCTGCACAGCCGCAGCGGTAATTGTATGGCAGCACTTGGACCGTTTTAAGCACTGTCCAGGCTATCAAAATAAATGGTCAACTGCAAACGAACCGAGCTGGGTTCCAGCTCGAATT